GACTTTACCTGTTTAGCCGTCTGACCTTTGAGAAAGGTAACTTCTGTTTAACAGCGAACACAAGCGTACGTTCAGTATTGGGCTGCCCTTGGAAAAGGGGACTGCAAGGGGACTCTAAGTCACTACAAGTCCTGGGGAGTTTTTTGCTTCCTATTTAAATGCAGAATTACCAGCTCCAGGATTTTCTGTTTGGTTCGTTTGCCGTGTAGCAGCGAGGAGACCCGGCGGAGGTAGGTATGCCTGTTCTTACAACGCCCTCCGTTCCTGCCTGAACTCACTTGGTGTCCTTCCAGGCTGCTGCTGCGTCTCAGGAAGAACGAGGAGCCCCAAAGCCTCCAGTGCAGCGAGGCGTCTTGCTTGGCTGTTTTCTTATGCTGGGGTAGGGGAGAAAAGGTGGGGCATCCCAGAATGCGCTGATTCCTCTGCCTCCTGCCCAGTTTGTCTTTGTATGCAAAGACTTTGGGTATGGATCCAGCAGCCGGCACGAGCGCTGGGTGCCGTGCCCCTGGCAAAACTGCAGGAAGCTTCGGAGAGAGAAAGCCGGTGTGCCTTCATGTGGATTTGAAACGTCCACTTACCTCAACACGAACTGCTTGATCTTTGCTTCTTGTGAGCAAGCCAATTGTGTCAAAAGGTGCAGTGGCCAAATCCAGCTTTCTATAGCCCGTCTTGCACTGGGAGGTTTTAATGGTATGCAGAGCATCCTTGTTTAATACAAGACCCCATCCCTCATCTCGCTGCGACAGTCTTGCGGGCAGAGGAAGGAGGGGAGCGCAAAAGTCTCTGCCTTCCCTACGGTCTGTGTTTCTGTGACGTGCTCTAATCGTGAAGCTTTTTCTGTTTTCTGTCCCTGTCCAGTGGGGAGCAGATGCCAGTTCAGTCAAAATACAAGCAGCTTGAGCGCCGAACAGTTTCAACGGTAATTATAAATCGCCTCTGAAAAGTGCCCTTGAATCTGCTCCCTGGTGCTGAGTTTCAACGGGGAAAATGATTTTTTTATCACGTATTACTTTCCCTTTACGTTGAGCTAAGCAAAGCAGGTTTGTCAGCAGCAGAGTGCTCCTAATTTGGTCTCCAGTGACCTCTGCAGCCATGATTGGCAGTCTGTTGTCAGGAAGGAACTTGCGCCTGTACGATAGGAATGAGCAGAACAAATGCCGCAGGACAGCTTCGGCTCCCTGGAGAACACGGGCTAAAAAGGTGAAAGAAGTGCAATTACAGGAGGTTTTCAACCCAGAAAGTTAATTAGCTACTAAGTAGCATTTAGTGCAGTTCAATGTGAAGGAATTTATGTTTTGCAAGCAAACAGATCAATGGCGGGCCCGTGGAACGTGGCTTCTGGAAACCCACGCCGGCATCGGAGCGCTCCGCGCTGTGACGTCCCACGAAATCTTCCATGGATTTCCCTCCCGTGCTGGCAGGGCTGGGGGATGCTCCCCCCACTCGGCACCACTTACCTACTCACATGCACCTCCGCGGCTCTTTATTCTGGTGTTACGTTTAAAGAGACACATTCCACTTCTTCAAAATAAATGGAATAAGTTCCTTCCCCGTTCAGAAAAGTCTGCGTGAGCAGGATCTGCGGGAGTTTTTTGAGGCGGTACAAAGCTTCAAGCATCTATTCCAAATCTTATCAGCCTGCGGGGGATTTAGGAGCAGGTTTTAACCTAGTTTACTACTCTCTGCTCAGCAGGTATGAATGGATTTTTAAAAATTGCACGAGCGTAATCCTCTTGCGGCTCTGTTTTCAGGGATATAGCCGGCCAGGATTCCCAGAACAGTGAGTCCATTGTTGTTTCGCCGTGCCTTTGATCCTTCTTTTTGGGGAACGGATTGTGAAGCACAGAGGTATTGAGACAGCTTGCTCCGTCTCAGATTGTCATTTCGCTCAGCCCACCTGACATGGGTGCTTTCCACAAACTTGCAGAGATGCGGCGTTTGTAAAGACCCGTCCCAGCAGGCCGATTGCTCTCAGTCCAGGTCTCTGATACCACTTCCCTGTGTCTTGACGGTTACTGCAAGGGGATTTGGGATGCTCTGGGCTTATGACAATTATTATGACAAACTCCTGCTTGTGAGGCTTCACCCTACCATCTTCTTAAGGGTTACCAATGTGCCAAAGGGGATGGTACAGGCACGCAGCCCGTCATTAAGGACTCTTGAGAGAGCGCCTGTGGTAGCACTTGTCTTTAACTAACTAATAGGAGGGACACTAACCTAAGAGGAGCAAAGAAACTGTAGGAAGGAAATGAGCCGTGAACGTGCCTGTTGCACTGGGGTTCCTGCTTTCAGCTTTTCCCATTCTGCTGATAAGCATTTGGTTTTTCTCCAGGTCCCTTCACTCCTCTGCATAAACCATAGCCCTGGCTTCGCCTGTTTTGTCTTTTTTATTAATCCCACAAGCTAATATCTCCCTGGAACGTGTTTCTGCGGTGCTAAGGCTGCTTTTGAACAACACAGTCTAATACAAATCTCAGGTCCAACGAACGTAACACCGACTTTCCAGTGGTATCTTGCAAACCTAGGAGCATTCTCCCTGCCTGCATGTGTCAACACAGAGGTGACTCCCCAAAAGCACAGACTTAATTAATTAGCATTGGCCTTACTGCTGTCCTTACAAGGGACAAGCGGGGCTGCACACAGATGAGTGTTAACATTGGTTTACAAAGCAGTTTAAAGCCATTTTCCAATGCATTCAGCACGTACAAATGGAAAAGGGCTTATGCTTAAACATAAGGTGGAGTCTTTTTTAAATTCATGGAGTGATTAACCTAGGTAATTATTGAGCGTTAGTATTTATAGAGTGTGTAAAATAACACTTTATATATTTGTGGTGTCAGGTACAGTACATGCATATATTACCAAGTGTGCAGTCACAAGCTTTCTGCTTGGTTTGCTGCTTTGCTTTCTGCTCCCAGCCCTCTCTGCTGGCATGCTGCCTGTTCCCTTCCTGATCTGCCACACACAGAGGCTTCCTGTGCCACTCGAGGGGCAGCACGTCCCCACACTGGGAGCATATGTGATGCCCTGTACAAGTATTAAATGCTGCTCATGCATCTAGTGACTTGATGCGCTTGAACTGTGGGGAGTTTCTCACGGGAATAACCTGCGTAGTACGTTCGCTTCCAGCCTCTTGTCCGTTTATTTCTTTATTAGATTTATAGGCTGCCCTTCTTTGTCTTTCTGACCACTTGATCTCCTCAAGGGCTGTAGGAATACCTGGGTGGTTTTGCTTAGTTAAATGAGTTTGAGTCATCTCTTCCTGGAAAATCCTGTGTTACCAGCTGTGGCTTCAACCTGAATGTTGCTGCGTAAAATCCAGCTGCTTACGGCAGGCTATCCAGCACGCGGTGCCTTTTCCAGGCTGTTTTCTGCACTAACATATGGTAGTGAGCATTCCTGGCAGGCGTTCCACACCGCAGATCCAGCCGATAAAGCAGCGCTTTGATTCTCACAAACCCAGATACAACTTGCCTGGAAATGCGTGCACAGACGACGAGGCCTGGCTGCACTTTCCGCTTAACACTGGGAGGCTCCAGGCGACTTTCGGATGAAGTGCAACATTGCAGAGTGGGTGAATTGGTCCTGTCTCGCCGGAGGTGTGATCCCGGCTTGCATTCTTGTGGTGCCAGGTTGTGTCCAAAGATCTCACTTCGATTGTCTCTCACCGGGATAATTAAGCAGCAGAACAGGCGTGCATTAAGTAGTGGAGCTGGTTCGTTTGGGTTAAGATCTATTAAGACCTTTTTATGTAAAGACTTATGCAGAATCAAAGGAGGGGGAGGGATTGATTTTGCATGTGTGTGGGCACTGAGGTTTCATGTCCTCCCCTGGAACTAGCCTGCCCATTCAGCCTCTGTTACTAATTTCACCCGCAGCTAAGGGGGATGTCCGCAGCCTGTTCATTGAAACGCAGTGACCTGAACGGTGGGTGGATGCTGGAAACACAGCCTAATGGCCCTCACTTGGGGGGCACGGTAGCCCGTCGCAGAAAGCTTCCTGACGTGGCGCAGCGCAGCCGCATGCTGAGTGTGCGAGTCTCAGCGCTCAGTGCCTACATTGTGAGATAAGCGGATTAGAAAACACTGCAGAAAGTGGCACTGCGGGGACTGCCTTTATACCTGCTCCTTGTCTTGTTTTGCAAACCCTGATTTCACAGTGGAGCCCATTCAGGCCTCTCTCTACAACTGTTCGCGGGCCTTGACCTCTGTAAGAGCCGGGGGGGTCACGGTTTCAGAGTCACTTAGTTCTCAGAGCAGTGACGCTTTTCTTCAGGGACGGGGCTGGTTGGCTTTTAATCTAGGTTCAGGCTTCCCCTTGGGGAAACCCTGAGTTCATTTAGCTGCTTAGCTTATTGGAAAACAGTCTGGTTCTGGTGAAAGGGCTCTCAGATGGTTTCCCAGTCCTCTGTATTCAAAGGCTGACGCTTGCATGCGGGAGCTTGTCTGAAGTCCCCATGCATGAAGCCAAGCTTATGAGTGGATGCTAGCAAATATGCTGTAGCAAGTGAGTCACTTCCCCAGAAATGTATGTTTTCATTGTGCGGGAAGGAGGCTCTTTCAGTTCTTCCGGTACCAAGAAAAGTGACCACGCACTGCCTCCCGAGTGTGCTCCCGGGTCCTGCCCCAGCTGAGGCCCAGAGCTGCTGGGCTCCGTGCAAAGGATTCTGCTAGGACTATGTGACAAAACATCCTTTCCCTCCAGGCTTTCACTGCTGCAGCCTGGCGGGGTTGCTCTGGTCACCTGGGCCAGGGGTGGAAAAAACAGGGAAAACATGAGCCCCAAATGCAGATGTAGATGTAGGCACCCTGGCACGTAGTGGGAAGGGAAGGTGAGTGTCCACTGGCCTGGCTCCCCAAACTGCTCCTGGTTATGGTACAAGAGAGACCAGTGCTGGCTACCAGAGAGGTCTGAATTCAGAGGTTACTGACTCTCCATCTTCCTGGGGTGACTGCAGACTCTGTTACCTGTGCTTAACGGTCCTCCCACCCCTGCTCCAGGGAGACGTGTGACAACCACATGACCTGCTCCACCAGCTCTGCCTCCAGCCTCGACACCAACGCCCACTTCCAGGACAACAACGGGCAAGCGCAAAATGCCCGGTGGGACGAGCAGCAGAAGGTGTTTGCCCTCGAGCAGATCTGCGGGGTCTTTCGTGTGGACCTCGGCCAGATGAGGTCCCTCCGCCTTTTCTTCAGGTGAGAAATGCATTTTCCTCGCGTCCCGGGGCCACTCCCCGCTTGGAAACAGCAAGGCTAGTTGGGGTATAGGAAACGCCTTGAACCCCAGGCCAGTCTCTCCCTTCGCCAGTCTTCTTCCCGATTTCTCCAGAAGCTTGTTGTGGCTTCCCCATCTCCTAGAGCGCCCGTGTCTCTGGGAGCCGCTGTCTCCAGGAGCGTGTTGTGCAGGCGCTGGAAAGGCTCTGGCGGACCTGCTGCCACCCGAGGCGGGGATGCAGTTCCTTCCTGGGGTCGAAGGCTTTGGCGTGGGAAGAGGAGGGAGCATGGCTACCCCACTGCTCCTTGGAGAGCGCTGTGCTGTGGCTGAGGCCGTGACGGCCCACGTGCCTCGGGCTGGGGAGGTGTTTGGTCTGCCTGCCTCCATGCTTGTAGTTTTTTCTTTGAGGTTTCCGTGCCTTTGTGTTTCATTCCAGCTGTGTCCTCCCCTCCCTCATCCTCTCCTCCCCGCTGAGAAAGCCGGCTCTTACCTGTGTGTTTTCCCTTCTGCTGCCCCGCAGTGACGAGGCCTGCACCTGTGGACAGCTGGTCGTTGCTAGCAGGGAGAGTCAATATAAGATCTTCCACTTTCACCACGGTGGCCTGGATAAACTGTCAGAGGTGTTTCAGCAGTGGAAGTACTGCACGGAGACCCACCTCAAGGATCAGGTAACCAGCCTGGGCCACGTGAGGCAAAGAGGCTGTCGTGCCTGCCTTCTTAGCCAGGGCTGAGGGCTGGGCATTGAAGAGGTGTCTTCATGAGTGGCTTTGACAAGTATGGGCAGGGCTGCAGGGTGCAGCACAGGTCGGGTCTTTGCTTGGATGTGCTGGTCCCTCTTCCTCTTGGTCCTGGGTACCAGCATGGAGAGAACACCGCAAAGGCCTATACACGCAGGTCCCTGCTTTGCTGGATGCTGGGCCAGTGCTCGGGCACTGGGACTAGATGGCTGCGTTGCCAGCGCTGGATCCAAAACCCCGCACCCGTCTCATCTAGTTGGGGTGCCCAAAGCCCTGCACGTGGAGGGGGTGTTTTGACAAGGCACCTTGCCAGATTTGACTGTCTCCCCACAAATGTGATAAGAGCGCTTTAATTACCCATTACGTGCTTATTAGAAACAACAATTTTTACACTCCTGTATTCCCCCCCGAATCCCCTGCTGCTTTCCTCGTTGCAGCCGTGCGGGCTTAGGCCAGCACAGAGCACCCTTTGATTTTTCAGTGAAACGTCAGCTGCAGCTTTGCGCTGAGATTGCAAGTGTCCGGAGAGGGGACCGGGCTGTGTGGCGCCCTGCGTGCCTCACAGCGCTCCCTTTGTATGGGCCCAATCATATGTAATGTATTGCCAGTGTTTCTGGCGGGCGAAGCTCGGCTGTGAGCAGCATTCATTCAGTCTCGGGGGGAAGCTGAGTGTGTGTGGGGAGGGGGATGTGGAAAGAAATTCTTGTTGGAAGTGCTGCCGTTGGCAGTGCTGTGGTTCTCGAATGCCTCGAGTAGCTCTTGCTGTTTTGATTGGTGGGATGTCAATCAAATCCTTGCCAGGCACCAAATCTTGGGGCTCACCTCGGGAGCTGCTCTGAGAGCTGCTGCTTTGCAGCCGTCCCCATCTCCTCCCTTCCGCTCTGTCTCCCCTTCAGCAGCTGACTGACGAAAGGACCTGCATGCAGTTCTCCATCCGCCGCCCCAAGCTGCCATCCTCAGAGACTCACCCGGAGGAGAACGCGTACAAGCGCCTCGATGTCTCCGCCTGGCTCCATCACCTGAACGAGTCCGGGCAGGTGGAGGAGGAGTACAAGCTGCTGAAGGTGAGGGGGGCACCAGGGGCTGCCTGGGTGGGTTTGCTTTTCTCTTAGTGGGCAAGTCCTTGAGTGGAAGTGACAGCAGTTGACTTCATGCTGGGTCAGGCCCTGGGGTCTTGGTTCTCAGACTTATTTCTGGTGCCTGGCTACAGCTCTCACAGGAACTGCATTCAGGTCACCATAATGGAGCATCTTCCTGAGCTCCTTCCACTGCCTGTTGGAATAAGTGGACTGGGAGGGTCCCATTCCTGTACAATGCAGTGGGAACAGCTGTAGAAAGCAGCCAAGGCTCCTACTCGCAGCCCTTTGTGGGCCCGGGCAGGACCCTGTCCAAGCGCTGAAAGAAAAGTTTGCCGTGAAACTCAGCGTCTCCAAGACTGGGGATTAAGCCCTGACATGAGAACGACACGTTAATCACAGAGTCCCTCCGGGGGGGTTATTGACATTGAAATGAGCCCGATTTGTGTCTCATCTGGGAACAGAGCTCAATACGTTCCTTCTACACATGTGCAAATTTGAAAGAGCTTGAATCAAGGCATCACTTGTCAGAGGCGGGTGGTAAAGCTGCAGCAGCCCAGGGGCGGGCGGCGTCTTGGTGCAGCCTGTGGGGCTCTCCCAGTTGTGTCTGTCGCTATTTGCGCTGCTCCTTTCAGGCCATTTTCTTCGGGGGGATCGATGTCTCCATCCGTGGTGAGGTCTGGCCCTTCCTACTGCGCTATTACAGCTACGAGTCCACGTCTGAAGAGAGGGAGGCCCTGAGGGTGCAGAAGAGGAGAGAATACTTTGAGATTCAGCAGAAGAGGTAACGGGGAGCTGCCTTCCACTCTCCTCACCTCAGGTTGGGTCCTGAAGGGACAGTGTCTCCATCCTGCATTACACTTGGCTTTGAGACCCTTCCTGAGGTCATCCCACGGGATGTCCGGCCTCGTGGCCCCCATCCTGGCAGAGGTCCTAGATGAGTTGGACACTTTCTGGTGTTTTGTAGGGTTGATGCAGAGTGGGGGGCTCTCAAAGCTGGGGGGTGGGAGAAGGATGGACCGAGGGGGTCTGTTCCGATGTACCTGGGCACAGAGGAGCTGGGGCCTTTCAGCTCATCCCTCCCGTCATTCAGATCCCTGGAGATGACTGTCCCTAAGTGCGCAGGAAAGCCTTTCTCCCAAAGGGAGATGAGGAGAACACGGTGTGCTTAGCCTGGCAAAACAAAGGTGAGGAGGGGCTGTGACCACTCCTTATAACATGTCCACGGGGGAAGCAGCTCTTTCAAACTCGAGTGTTGGTCTAAGCACAAATGGGGACAAATAAAGACAGGCTGAGAACGCAGATTTCTGATCATCCCGATGGCCAGGTCCAGGAACAGCCTCTCAGAGCAGTTTGGATAAACTTATTGGCAGAGGATGCTAGACCCGTGTCTGACTGGGACTGTGCCGCGGCTGCCGGTGAGAGCTGGGGATGGACTCGGTGCCTCCAACCTTCTCTCGCAGTCTGGGCATCATGGAGATGGGGGAGCTCAGTCTGCCTCCGGGACAGAGGGTTTGTGGTCTCTCCCTGGGCTGAGCGCACTCACGGGGCTGCTTCGTTTCCAGGCTGACGATGACCCCCGAGGAGCACAAGGAGTTCTGGCGCAATGTGCAGTTCACCGTTGACAAGGACGTGGTGCGGACCGACCGCAGCAACCAGTTCTTCCGTGGGGAGGACAACCCCAATGTGGAGACCATGAGGTGATGCTCCTTTATGGAGGGCGGCATCTGCCCCCGCTAGAGCTTTCCCTTCCAAGGTGCAGGAAGCTCTGTGGGCAGGCCTGGCCAGCCAGCCCCTCTTCCCCTACCTGTACCACTTCCCTCCAGCTGTAGCAATGTCCCGTCTCCCTGGCCCAGTTCCTTGTGGACAGGGCAGCCAGGAGGTGGACACCAAAGGTTGAGGGCACTTGAAGGATCAAGCTGCCACTGCAGGAACACAGCAGGTGCCTGGGTAAAGCTGGGGCTGGCAGTTTGCAGCTGCTGGGGTGAAAGACCAAGCTCCCTAGGACCTGGCCGGTCTCGCTGGAGCTGCTGCACTCGGCTCTGGCGCGTGGTTAGGGAGCAGCTAGATCTTGCCTGCTGCAGCGGTTTGGGCACTGGGGATGGGCATGTAGTCCCTGCCCCACATCGCTCCTGTTCCCATCATATGACTCTTTACTGTTTAAACTGCTATTTCCTGCCATTTTGATTTCCAGCACCTGCTGTCCCCTCCCCAGCTCTTGGGGTTTCCCTCCTCTAGAGCTGTTTTGTGTTTCTCTCCCTACCTCTACTATGCTTCTCCCCTGCCCTGCTTCTCAGGGGCAGGCAGCCCGCCTGGGGACTGGGTGGTCGTGAGTCCTGGTCCCAGATTGCTACAAGCTGTTTGGAAGTCTGGCTGGCCAGCTAGCCCCTCATCAGAGCTGGTACAAGGCAGTCTAGCCCTCCATGGCCTTCCTGGCATCTGGGCACTCTCCCCCCATGTGCCATGAGGTGCTGTGCTGGAGGGCACGCGGCCCTGGGGCCTGCAGCGTGCTGTGCAGCTGCTCAGGGAGCCGTGTGCTTTCCAGCTCTAGCTGCGTCCTTCATGCTTGAAACAGCAGGAGGGATTTTTCAGTTGCCTGGGTCTGCATGCTGGGTGGGATTTGGAGGGGGGAAGTAGGACTGAGTCACCTGTGACAGGTGCCCACTGGATCTCACCCTCTCCTGTCTAATGCCTCCTAGGAGAATTTTGCTGAACTATGCAGTGTTTAACCCTACCATTGGCTACTCCCAGGGGATGTCTGACCTTGTGGCCCCCATCCTGGCAGAGGTCCTGGATGAGTCGGACACTTTCTGGTGTTTCGTGGGGTTGATGCAGAACACTATTTTCATCAGCTCCCCCCGGGATGAGGATATGGAGAAGCAGCTGGTGAGGCCCTCGTTCCTTTCCTTAACTTCCCTCCTCCCCAGGCTGTCAGAGGGATGTTGGTCTGCGATCGGTGCTAGGCAGCACCACATGAACACGGCTGTACTGCTTGGGGTTCAGGCGGTGCAGTCGCAGGCTGTGTCCGGAGGAGGGCCCATCGTCTTTGCACTGTGCTGCACTTAAGCCAGCTCGTGCTGCTTCTCAGAGGGCTGCGAGCACTGCGCTGCACTGCGCAGCTGTGCTAGTTGGAACCAAAAGCGCTGTACTTCCTGCTCCTGGGCCTGTGGAGTGTCTGAGTCTGCATCCTGGCCTTTGCTCCTGGGAGGTTTATTTAATTCCTCATTATTTGGCTGTAGACATGACTTAGGAATGATCTGATCCAAGCTGCAAACTTTTCCATGGATATCTGTTTTTAAATGCACCGATAACTGTCTGTGACCAAAGTTTCACTGACCCAGGGCATGTGGAAAGCTGAAAGCCCGGCCCAATCTGCCCGGTGGCATTTCTTAAAGTAGTGGGTTCTTTTAAAAATCTAGATGCAGCTCCAGGCTGTCGGGGGAAAGCTAATTCCATCCTGGGCTGGGCAGTCCTACCACATTGCTCCCAACTGGAGACATGCTGTCCTGGTCACCCCGGCCTCCTCTTCCCATGGAAAGCTGCTGTGAAAGTCACTGGTGGCGTGTGATGTTCCTGTGCGCATGTGCATCCCCAGCATACCCAATGAGTTGGTTTTCCTGTGCAATGTCTGTGCCACCCAGTGAAAGTCAAAACTCAGCATTGCCAGAAATAGCCGCCTCTGTCCTGTTTTGCGAGGCTGCACTCCTAGAGCTCTGAGTCCCAGGCTTCCTTTTTTTAGCAGCAGCATTAAGAGCAAAGCTGTAGTGGGTTTGGTCTTCCCTCTCTCCTTGCTGAATCTCTGCAGGGGCCTGTAAGGCTCTGTCTGCACTGACGAGCCAAGGCTGGTCCTTATTGCAAAATATATAACAGGTGTGGCGTGGCTGAGGCCTGAATACCAACATGGGGCTTGTTGAAAGAGGGGAAAAATTATGTCCAACAAGGCTGGAGTGTGGTGATGAGGGACATGCCACTGGTAGGCATGTACTTCTGGGTCTGGGGCATCACCATAGCCACGGGGTGGAGGTTGAGCTGAGTGATGGCACCTTTTCCAGATGTACCTGCGCGAGCTGCTGCGGCTCATGCACCCCCGCTTCTACCAGCACCTGGCCGCGCTGGGGGAGGACGGCTTGCAGATGCTGTTCTGTCACCGCTGGATCCTCCTCTGCTTCAAGCGCGAGTTCCCAGAGGCGGAGGCCCTGCGCATGTGGGAGGCTTGCTGGGCTCATTACCAGGTGAGGCTGCAGTCTGCAAAACGGTGCACCACAGAGCAGGTGCATGCCCTGGGCTGGCCCCGCACTCATGCATGCAGCTGCCTTTCCCCGTGCCCATGCAGTATGTTGCACGAGAGAGCACCCACCCAGGCAAAGTATCACTGCACAGACCCAGCCCCCTTTTCACTCCCTGAGTTGCGACTGCGACGCGCTTAAAATAGCATCTTATCTTTGCAATGGGCTGGTTTTATTCCCCGCCGCTTGCTTCAGAAGTCATTGAAATCAATGCAGATTGCACCCTGGCTTGGGGCTTGATTGAGTCCTGGGGATGATCTGGCTCCTGCTGCAACCCATCAGTGCGAAAGGAATCGCCTTCACTTTTAAGTGGCAATTGTAGCTTGTTTCCCCAAGCCCTGGCCTGCTGCTGTGAGCACTTGCAGGCCTCCAGGCTAGCCACGTGCAGCTGAGTGCTGGTCTGCTCCTGTCCAGTGAGCAAAAGGCCAGGGACACTTGGAAAAGCTTCTTCATCGGCCCACACAAATTCTGTTTGTTTCTGCATAAATTAGCCTGCAGAACTGCCCTCCGAGGGTAGGGAAGCCCTCACGATGGGCTTGCCCATGTGTTTGGGGTGGGAGATATCCATCTAGACGGTGCATCTGTGTGAGGGACCGCGTGCCCTGTAAGGACTCTCCCCTGTCTTTGCCTAGCAAAGAATCATGTCCCCAGGGGGGCCCAACTCCTCAGACCTGCAAAGCACCCATCCTCTGCAGGGTGGGCCTCAGCAAGCGGTTTCCCACTGGGGACCCAAAATAATGGGTCCATTGGAAAAAACGTGACCCTCCTCTCGCTTCTGTCCTCTGGGGGGCAGCTGCTTGTGGCTTGGCTCCAGTGGAAACTGGCTTGCTATTCACCACTAGCACACATCCCAGACAGGAACAAAGTTTGTGTGACCAGGGCTCCTTCCCGACCCAGGAGTCTTTCCAGGCTGGGTGGGGGGGCAGGGCACTGGGTGCCCGAAGCATCCCGTCCCATAACCCAAACTCCTGCTTTGCTCTTGCAGACCGACTACTTCCACCTTTTTATCTGTGTGGCCATCGTGGTGATCTATGGGGACGATGTCATTGAGCAGCAGCTGGCCACCGATCAGATGCTGCTGCATTTTGGCAACCTGGCTATGCACATGAACGGGGAACTCGTACTCAGGAAGGTCAGTGCCGTGGGCCGGCGTGGGCTGACCTGTCGTGGTTCTGAATGTGGGAGGCCGAGCGGGAACGCTCCCATTTCCCTGTTCCTGCTGTGCCCTGTGGCCCACGCCGGGGACGAGTGAATGAGTGGTGTGGGGGTCTGTCTATAGGCAGCACATTGCGAGACCAACCCTGGGAAGTGCAGAGAGTCTAGACGTGCCACTCAGAGGCAGGATAACACACGCGTGCATTCAAGAGCTGGAAAGGGAGCCTGCAGCTCTTCAGCCCTGGGGTGAGGCCCCCTGTTCAGGTCAAGCAGGAGTGATGAGAGATGTGACACTCCCCTGCATGAAGAGCAGTGATGGTCTCAGTTTAGTGCTCAGTGACACCAGGTGATGCCCCGCACACATGTGTGCACACGCACACACCCCTCACTGCGCAGCTGAAGGTGGGATAGGCAGCAGACTTTCCCCTCTCCTCCGAGGTCGCTGCACTGCAGGTCTGGGGCATGTCAGCCAGCAGCAGGGAGGAGCTGTGCCCAGTGTTGTGTGAGCTGGGCCGGCTCTGTGGCTGACCCGACAACTTCACCTTCCGGTGGCTGAATGCAGACAGTGCTGGAAATGCCTCCCAGGCCTCTTTTGGCTGCACTTGGGATCCATGTCCCCCCTAGCCAGGCTCCTGTGGATCCTCGTGTGAGCCAAAGGGACCCAAGGGCAGCCCCGGCCCCTCGAACGTGTGCTCTGGCTATGCCACTAATGAGCTTCCACTCCTCTCGCCCCTCCAGGCGCGGAGTTTGCTGTATCAGTTCCGCCTGTTACCGCGCATTCCCTGCAGCCTGCACAACCTGTGCAAGCTTTGTGGGACTGGCATGTGGGACAGCGGCTACATCCCGGCCGTGGAGTGCTCTGGACATCACCCCGAGTCAGAGAGCTGCCCATACGGGGGCCTGGTGGAACCGCCCTCCCCCAAGCCCGGAAACGAAGGCAAGAGAGGGCTGAAATCGCGGGACGTCTTTGCTTTCCGGAAATAGCCCTGGATGACTGGCACGCGTGGCAGAAGCAGGGGACGTGGTCAGGCAGGAGACATGTGCAAGGGAAAAGAAAGGGAGAGTTTCTCAAGCCTTCTGAGCTGAGCAGGA